AAAAGTAAAAACAAATATAAAAACAAAGGAGCATGGCAGCACATTTTAAATAGCTAAAATATGCAGTAAACCTGACCTGTAAAAGGAAAATTAAGATCACCTAGGATGGGTAACCTCCCCCCTCCGAACCGCTGGTAGCTGAGTACATCTTTGAAAGCTTCAGCATAAAGGGCCATCTTTATGGAGCAAAGCTCAGGATACCAAGGTTTAGGGTGGTTGCCAGGAAACATTTCCTGATGCCGAGGGTATGGGATGGGCTTCCCGGAGGTGGCTGAGGCCCCATCGGTGCGGGTGTTCAAGGACAGGCTGGACGTCCACATGGTGGGCCTGTCGTGAGCGGAGCCAGCTGGAGTTGGGGGCCAGACTAGATGGCCCGGGAGGCCCCTTCTGACTCGCTCTGTTTCTATGCTTTATGTTTCTATCTTAACCTGGCGTGAGAAAGTTGACAAATTTGGCACCAGGCAGGTCGCGGGGGAGGCTGTTTTGCCACAAGAAAGCCCTCCCCCTTGTTGCCGTCCTCGGAGCCTCCCTCAGCGGTGGCGCTCAAGGGGAGGCCAGAGGTTGAGCATAGCGTGCAAGCAGGCCAGGTGGGAGAGGTGCTCCAACAGGTTTCGCGGTCCCAAGCCATGTGAGGCGTTCCTGGTTAAAACCAACACCTCGAATTGCACCCGGGAGCCTGCAGGCGGCCAGTGCAAGCAGGCCAGAACCTGTCCGAAGCGTTAGGGCCTGCAGGGCCCCGTTATTAATCCGGCTGCCACATTCTGCACAAGCTGCGGCTTCTGAATCGTCTTCAAGGGCAGCCCAGATAGAGTGCATTGCACTTACGCAGTTTAGAGTTTGCTGAAGCCGGGCCATCCCTGTCCAGGTGGGGGCATAGCCAAAGGGAGGAGGAGGCGCTCCAAGCCGCTGAGGCCACAATTATGGGTCAAGGAGCACCTCCAGGCTACAGGCCTGCTTCTGCAGCAGTGCCACCCCATCTAGAGCAGGTTGGTACATCCACGTTCCGGTCAGAGGAGTGACCTTTAACGGCACCTCAGTCTTGACTAGACTGCACTTCAGTCTGTCTGCTGGCCCTCATCCCAGGGATCTTTGGCTGTGGGGCGATATGGAAATGAAATAAGGCGCCCTCTTCCTCCTCCTCCTCCTCCTCCTCCTCCTCCTCCTCCTCCTCCTCCTCCAGTCCGTTGTCACGCCCAGGCTCCAGCTCTGCACATCCACAGCCTCACTTCTCAATGGTGAAAAGGAGAATTAGAGTTACTTGTCGTCAGCATGCTGATGGCAGGGGACTTCAAGCTCCAGGTGTGACCCCACTCAGTGATTTCATGTAAATGTTAAAAAGCATGGAGGACGGCAGACCGCTGAGGAATTCCAAGCTGGAGAATCCACAGGGTTGAACACTGTTCCCCAAGCCCCACCTTCTGGAGATAGCCCTCCAAGTAAGTGGAACCCCTGCAAAGCAGTACCCGCCCCCCACTCCTAACTCGGAGAGCGCCCCGGAAGGATGCCGTGGTTAATGGTAGCAGAAGCCGCCGAGGGGCCCAGGAGTATCAGCAGGGTCACACCCCCCATCTCTCTCCTGCCGTGGATTGTCATGCAGGGCGACGAAGGCTGTTGTTGTACCAAGCCCAGGCCTGAGCCCTGACTGAAGCGGAGTCGATCCCCGACCCTCCTTTTGCAACCTTTGTCCCAGAAAGAGATGTCAGCCGCCAGCATAAGGACCTCTGGGCCGCGGAGGCTCTTGTCAGGAGTCGCCTCACCCCCGCCTCTTTCAGGCACAAGGGACCACCCCCTTCCGCAAAGAGGCCTCCACCACCTCCCCAGCCCAGCCGGTTAGTCCTTCCTTGCTGGTTTTTATAAGCCAGGAGGGGCGAGGATGCAGTGCAGAGGTGCTTGCGCAAACCTGGCCAAGCACCCGTCAGCATCCTCGCGCTGTACCGACCAAGACTCGTCCAAGAAAACCAGCCCAGGCTGTGCTGCCGGGTTCTCGGAGGCCCTGCCACTCAGGTGGCAGCACTTTCCAGAGGAAATGGAGCCTCCAAGCCAGCGGCCGTGTGGAAGGGAGAGGAGAGGCGGGCCGGGTGGCGGGGGGCAGCCTTCGTGACCGTCATGCGGACTTCGGTCGTGAACTCCAGAAGGATGGAGGCGTGCGTGTCGCATTCCTTGGTCTGCAGGGTGACGCTGCTGCATGGAAGTGACGACTGCGCATTGGCCGCACCTCGCAGGCTGGCTTGTTTGCTTGCATCAGAGCTCCCATTTTAAAGATCCCAAAGCAGGTCATCTTCCAAGACACTCCTCTTAAAAACACGCTAACACTGGTCATCGTTGCCCGTGCCGAAAATATTGCAGAGGGGACGCGATTCCAGCGGGAGGGTGCCACAGCAGGGAAGGCCCACCACCACGCTGCTTCCACATGGGACTCTGCAGGCCATGCAGGGCCTTCCCAAACTCCCCCTCCCCTCCTCCCCAGCTCCTCCACCCCCAGCTTGGCTTCCAGCTTCATTTGCTCTCTCTCCCCATGCCCGCCGTGAGGCATAAGGATCCCTTCTGGAAGAGCTTTCCTTTCTACAGCCGGCAACTAAGCGGCCCTTTGGAAAGCAAACAAGCCAGGCATGGCCGGTCCCGTGGGCGAGCTTAAACATGAAGGGATGGTGTGGTGTCCATGTTGCCACCAAGGGCAAGGGCAGTCTTCCTGGGGCAACACGGAATGGCACCTTTTGGTCAGGACAAATGTCCTTTGTCTTTTTTTTTCACAGCCAGCCAGCATGCCGTGGCCCTAAAGGAATCCAGTCCTCACTAGCATGTTCTTGGAATTTCTTCCCCCTTAGGGGCTTTTTATATTCTTCTGCAACCTGAGGGTTCCTGCAGATAACCTCCATCTTGTGGGCCGTTTTGGCTACCAAAGATCCATATGAGAACGAACATATGGGAAGATGGCGCTTGATTTTCTCATGTGCTCTAAACAGTCAGAATCCTCTCCTCTGCACCCTCTGCTAATTCAGCAGGCAGATGCCAGCCCATAAAACTTTGGGTGGCCTCAGCAAGTGGTTTAGAAAAATCCTGCTGAAGAGGCATATAACATTTTGCCAGGGATGGTGGAAAGACACTTTTTCACCACCTGATGAAGGAGGGCAGGAGATCCCCGGCAGACCAAGAGAAAGCGCTTTGCCACCCAGCCAAGAATGGATGTCTCGAGTCCACTGCCAGAAGGTGTGATGAGACAGACCTGTCACTAGGCGGCTTTTTAAGTAAGGGTTGAGCAGACACACTAAGGAGGGATCGGTTGGGAGCTGTTAGTCAAGACAGCAAAGCAGACGTTCCATGTTTAGTGATCATAGTCTCACAGAAGACTAGGCTTGGAAGGGGCCAAGAAGGCCACTGGGTCCGGCTCCCTGCTGTTGCAGGACAGCACCTGACACCATTCCCCTCTCTCCACCCCGGAGGTTTTCCCGAGCCTTTCCTTGTTGCTGTTTGGTTTTAACGCTTCCAAGCTTTTAATGGATTTGGTGCATTCGCCTGCTTTGCGGACTGTTGTAGTGGACTTGGGCCGCCATGGACTGGGTGGTCTGGAGAGCTTTGTTTGCGTGGATGTAATGAAATAATTCTAATGCTAACGTTGCCTCTGAGTGGCCGTCGCTGGGGAGCAAGCGTGAGAAAGGACGTGCATCCAGGCCTTGCTGGCAAGCGTCCACGTGATTGTTTGCTGCTGGACACAGGGTGCTGGACTCTTACTGCCACGTTACTTACTTAATTTCATTCCATCTCTGTGCCTCCCACAGCGGAAACTCTCTGGCCAGTCTGTGACAGTGCCAGGTCCAGCGGGCCTCCCCTTCTGGCCAGAAGCAGGGGGAGGGGGGTTGGCACCGCCACGCTTTTGGAACCAGAGGGGTTGAGAAGCCTGCTCTTTCTGTTTTTAACCGGACCTGAGTTCTGGTCCTCGCGGGATGGAATGTCGCCTCTCTTCGCGCTTGCTGGGATCATCTCACCTCCGGCACTAGCAGGCAGGTCACTCGTGCTTCCTACCTAGAAAAAATGGGTCTATCCGAGTCGTCGCATCACAGGCCAGTGTCCTTGGTTCTCACCAGTTCCCAACAGCTTGCTTAAAATGTGGCATAAGTGGAAGTTTTGTGCCAGATGAGGAATTTCATAACTTGGGGCTGCATGGGGCAAGGGTAAGTGCCTCCAAAAGAGGGCACTTCTTCCGTTCGCAAGTACTTTTCGGGAGATGCTGTGGGCTTGGGCTGCTTCTCAGGCTTCCTGAAAGCACTTCATTTTAGAAAAAGAAGGGGGAGTCTTGCTCTCCATTCAGCCCACAGGCAGCATCAGCCAGTGATTTGAAATAATTTTGGAAGTGGGGTGGAGGGTGTCTTCCAGATTCCAGCAAGGAAATAGCCCGCAAAGCACCCTTATAAAATGTACAACAGTAGAGAAAGTCCTAGGAGCCCAGCCTTCTGGATACGGCAGGTCCTCGTTCTAGGCTATTGGGTGGCATGGAAATTTAATGTATGGGTTGCCTGTAATCTGCTCCTGTTCGTTTTGGGGGAGGATCATGCGTGAAGCCTTTTTCTGAGCATGGCAGGGGCTGGGCGAGCCCCAGAGAACGGCGGGCTCCTTTTGCTCCCACCAGCGGCCTCTCCACTGCTCCTTGCATGCCAGCCGATGGCAGCAACATGGCCGCAGAGCTCTTCCGGCCTCGTTTCGCTGGGGCTGGACATGCTCACCCTTTGCTCTGCTGCTTTACTGGCATGCTAAAATAAGCACAGTTACCACTTGCTGTTCCCACATTCCTGCTGGGTCATGGGAGAAAGACCTTCCTGGCAGCCGGCGGGTTTCATCACCCTCTCGTCTCTCAGCGCGAGAGGGCAACGGGCAGCAGTCCCCACCTTGGCCTGGCAGCCGCTCCGAAAGAGCCGCTACAGCAGCCTGCCCCCGGCCCTTTTTCTAGGGGTTTCTTATTCCCCAGGACCTGTTTTGTTAAGAGCACGCCTGCTTCATTCCAGCAGGTCTTGCCAGCTGAACTGCCGGACGCAATCCTCAGGATGGAACCCCAAGGCTCAGCCAGACTGAATTCCAGGAAAAGAAGGAAAGAAGGGGTTGGACCCAACGGGGCCGCCGAGGCGGACGGTGTACCACCCAAAGTGCCACGGAACTGCTTTGTAAGTGAAAGGCCCGGTGTGGCGTCCTCCGGCAGCGTTTGACCGCGAGTGAGTTGGGTGGCGCGTGCTGCACTTCAGCCAAAGAACTGAAGTGGCTGCAGAAAGAGGATGCAAAGGGGGCTTAACGAGCGAAACCGAGGGGCCGGTTTACCTTCCTCTTAAGCCAGGCCTCGGTGTCTGGATGCTGGAATGTTCTCAGGCAGAGCAATCAGAAGGGCGCGGCTCTGCGTTTTGCAGGACACCTTTGGTGGGTCTGTGTGGTGCTCGGCCGGCCGGCCGAGCTGGCCAAAGTGAAAGTGTAACCATAGCCTGGAATGTGAGCCATCCCGGCTGCCCCTCCCGGGAAAGGCTCGCTCGCCCGCTGGCAGCGGGGATCAGATCTCGCTGCAATCTCAGCCCAGGCACCCTGCAGCCTTCCTCCCACCCATCCATATATCGGATGCTGCTGGGCTTGCCCTTTTCAGCTGCCTCTAAACTGCCTACCAACTCTGTCCTCTGTTGCACCACAAGAGGAAAAGGGCCAGGGATTCGAAACAGTTAGTCTTTTTTCTTAAAAGGTTGCAGCATTTCCTCTCCCCCAGCAGGGATGCAATGTCAGGGCAGGAGCAGGGGGCACACAGGCCTTGGGTGGCCCCCCCAGCCCCACACCGGCACCGTCAAGGGGGAAGCCGTTTAATGGAAAGACTGTGGCATCCACAGCTGCCCAGAGGGCCGCAGGGGTCGGCGCTGGCTGCATTTGCCCCCGTGGTGCTGCAGAACCCTTTTTTGGGGAGGGTCTGGTTGAGAAGTGTCCCTCGGACCTCCTGAGGCTTCCCATCACTGTGTTAAGAGTTCGTGAAACCCGCTCACCCGTCACCACCTCTTGGTTTTCTTTTCTTTTCCAACTGGCACTCGGTTTCTGTGGTTCTTGGTGAGAAATGACCGGCCTCGGTCCTTACAAGAGGGGAGGGGCCTCTTGGAGTTCTTCTAACATTCCCCGAACATGCAGGCACCTTCCGACTGCTCCTTCACAGGCGTGGTGTCTGCTCAGGGGGAGAGATGGTAAATACACATCACCGTCGTACGTGGCCCGTTGGGAAAGATGCGGGTTCCCAAGGCGGGCATTGAGCAGGGTCTGGAGAAGAAGGATGAGACGCTTATTCGTTTCACTGTGGTTTTGGCTTTCCTGCTATTGGAAAAACACTGCCAAGAAGGGAGAGTTGCGCAGGCCAGAGAGGGAAGTCTATAGCCGCACGTTCGTTCATTCTTTGGTTCCTTTCTGCACTGCCCGACAGCCAGAGCTCCCTGGAGGGTTCCAAAAACCGAAACCCCAAAATGCGACATGATAAAAATGCAATATAACATCTGTAGGGGACAAGCATTCAAAACAGCTAAAAACAATGAAATACCAGGATCTGATAGAGCAACTGGCACCAGAATCCTCCTCGTGCTGTCAAATACCTTGGTGGTACAGAGAAGTCTTCATGTGGCACCAAAGGACGGTCAGGAGCCGCCCTGGAGAAATCCGTGTTATCACCCTCGGAATCCCTCGCACAGAAGGGCCTCGGATGGCGACCAAAGGGCTTGTCAGTTTGATACTAGGAGAGGTGTTCCGACATGTCCCGTAGTCCCGGGCCACGTAAAGCTTTATAGTTCAAAAACAGCCTCGAATTGGGCTGAGAAACAGGCAAACATCAGCTGAATGTTCACGTATTATTTCTAGAATGACATGATGGCACGATGTACAATATGCCTGCAGACTTCCTGGGCTTCACGTAGAATTAATTCCAGAGCAAGAGAAGTGGGTTCATGAACATACCAGGTTGCGTTGCACGAAGCGGAGGAAGCTGTCCGTGGGACTAGCCCGGCTGGCCAAGTGCCGCCTCCCTTACCAGCGGCGGCCGGCCTGCCTGCGCCCGCCAGTTGCAGAGGCGCTTGGACAGACACCCCCTGCGGGCTTGCCCCCTGTGAACGGAGTGCGACCCTGGACAGGCCTGGGGTCTGGTCTGCTCCGGCCGGGCATCTCCTGTGCCCTTAGGTTAGGGCATCTGCTCCTCTGCTGGTTTGCCCAGGTGGGCCGTTGTTCTTCAAGGACGCCTCTGAGCCAAGATCCCTCTCTCAAGTGGAGATGGCATTCGAACCTCACACACGTCACCTCTGACCTGTGTCCCATTTGGACGAGCACATGGAGCCGCTCCCCCATAATCCTGGGCTAGGGGGCCTTCTGGTCTCTCCGGGTCTGACTCAGTGCTGAGTAAATATTCCGCGGTGTTTTTTCTCTCTCCTCAAAGCTGGCCTACTTTCTTGATGGCTTTTTAAACTTAGGGGCTCAGGGAGCCAGCTCCGTTTTCCGATGAGCTTGAGGTGGACTACAGCAAGCCGTACGTCCGAGTAACGTTTGAAGAGGCGACGAGAGGGACCCCATGTAAGTAATGCTCAGCGAAGACCGAGTGGAGCACCTGGGCGCCCTTTATTTTCACAGTGCTGCTTGCGTGCCGTTCGAACCACGCGAGGGACCGAGCTGCTCATGGCGAAGCTGCCGGCCGCTGGACAGCCTGGGATCTCCATGGAGGGGTTGGCCTCACCCTCTGTCCCAGCGCCGTGGGCAGGGGAGTCGCGCACCCACGTTGGACTGCAATTTCCATCATGCTGGTCGCACCATTGGTTAAGGAAGGCCATTGTATGAAAGGCTGGGCATGAAGCAGCACTCCCGGTGCTTGGGCCTTCAGCTCCTGGCATTCCTGACCATCAGCGGTGGCAAGAGGGGCTTCGGGGGGGGGGGTGGAGTCCCGGGCATCTGCAGATCTCCCTTCTGGCCACCTCTCCTGTACCCCGTAAGGAGCACCATGTCCTAGAAGGCGTGGGCTCCGTGTTTTGAAATGCCGTTGCCGCTGCTTCCAGGGAACTAGGCCAGTCTGTAAGGCTTGGCCCTGCGCCACTCGGCTTCACTCCGCGCCCTTAAAGGAGATCGCGGGGCACCTCCCTGCTCCGCTCCTGCACATCCTCGTTCAGCGTTCAGGATGCAGGAGGGGATTCGCCGGGGCCGCTGCCTGCTGCCCAGTGTGCGCTGCGGAGGATGGCTGTGGCTCCTCCCGGCCCCACTTTCTCGGGGAGCCTGCGGGATCGCCGCGCTCTCTCTCTCAGTAGCAGTGACGTCCCCGGAAGAGGCCTGCTTTGTGCCGTGGTGGTGCCAGCAGGGTGGAAAGCGAGGGGAAGGAGGCCCAGGCCCCCTCGAATTGGCCGGAGTAGGTCCCCCGGTTGCTCTCGGAGGGACTTGCCCTGGCCTGTGTGGGAAGGGGCTTTCTTGGCTGGCCCCCCTGCCACCAACAGGCCGGGTGGTGGCTCAGTGGCCTGAGCCCTGCCTGGGACCCTCCTCTCACCAAATCCAGACAGCAGCACCCCCAATTTAGCCTTAAACTGTGGAAAGAGCCGTGTGAGGGGCCTGGCCGTGCCCTTCCGTCCCCCTGGCACCCGCATGGCAGCTGCGTACGCCCTGCATCCACACACTCCCTGCCCGAGGAGCTGGTGTCGGAAGGCAGGTTTTGCGGGCTGCGTCCGTGCAGGAAGCCAGGGGGAAACAGCGGCCCTGTGTGGGAGGCTTCCTCTGGGGAAGGTCTCATGCCACAGGCAGCAATGGCTCTTGTGTAGGAGCACGGCGGCATGGGGGGAAGGCTCCCTCCCCACACCCTCGTGGCGGGTTCTGCCGGCCACGGCTGGTCCGGGCTTCACGCGCGGCCGAGCGTCGGCTCGTGCTGCTCCTGCGGCAGGGTGGGGGCCCCCTCGTGCACGCACGCACCGTGCCACGGGGGCCCAGAAGCGCACGCTCCGAAGGCTGTGGCGAAGGAGCTGTGCTCGCCACCCTGGCAAGGCCCCTGTGGCGTTCCCCACCTGCCGCCCTTCAGGTGTGTCAGACCACAGCTTCCAGCATCCCCAGCCCCTGGGAGCTGTAGTCCAGTACATCCGGAGGGTGCTGAACGTCTTGAACATTTGGGCCTCGGGCAGGTGCTTCCGCTGGACGTGCGCCGGGTCTCCCTGCAGCTTGTTCACGGGCTTTTTTCGGCTGTTGCTGCTGTTCTTTTCAGTGGACAGACCAGTCCGGGTTTATGCCGATGGAATTTTCGACCTGTTCCACTCTGGACACGCCCGCGCCCTGATGCAAGCCAAAAACCTCTTCCCGAACACATACCTCATTGTCGGAGGTAAGACGGGAGCAGAGAAGGAATTTGTTGGCCGGAGAAACGGCGTGGTGGCAGGAGGCCGGCCGAGTGCAGGCTCCCCCCGCTCTCGTACCCCAGGACGGCTTCCCCAGCTCTGGGAATGGCAGCAGTTGCTGTCCAGCGCATCGGGGGGGGGCACTCCTGGATCTTGGGGATTTGTCCCATGAAACCGGTGGGCATAGAGTCCGTCGGCCACAAAGCCCTGCTCCGCCGAGCACATCGCTCGCGGCATCCGCCGCCGGACGTGGCTCCCGGGGGGCCAAGCCCATTCCTTGAGAGGGGGAACTCTGTGGCTGGCTCCTGGCCGCCATGGCTGGCCATGCTTGCAAACAGGGTGCCTAGCCCCCGCATGGGGGGCGGCCGTGCGGTGTGTCAGCCGTGCTCCACCCAGCCTTACCCTGTCAGCTCTGACCGGCAGCGCGGGCTCTCTGGCGTCTCAGGCAGGCGTTTTTCTCAGCCCTGCTGGAGGTGAGGGGGTTGAGCGGGGGACCTTCCGCACGCCAAGCAGAACCTCCACCGGTTCCACCTCCTGCTCTCCTCCCATTCCGTGGCTGTTCCTCTGCGCTGGTAGGCCTGCATCCGACCATAGTTCTCCTCCTCGCAACACGCCTCTGGAGGAGTCCGTGGAAGGCGGGTTCCCCACGGGCGTTTCAGAGGCAATCCCCAAGCCCAGAGACTAGATTCTCAGCAGCTCTTCCTTACCCGTCTTCTCTGCAAAATCCCACTTGGAGGACCTGGATGCACAGCTGCTTCTGCAGGTCGCTTTCTGTAGAGGAAAAGCATCTCGTGGGAGACAGACTGAAGTGCGCGGCTTGTCTAAAGTTTGCTCCCAGCCAGTGCTGAGCTGAAATGGATGCAACCCACAACTGGTGTGAATCATGCTGCGTCCCCTCCTGCGTTTCTGCACGAGGAACCCGTTCTGGAGGCTGCCATGAGCCGAGTGTGGCTCAGGTCTTGTTGGGCAAGAGGGGCCGATACTGCCAAGGAACCGTGGCGAGGGGGAAGGCGGCCATCCCCCCGAGCTGGGCACCCTCGCCACCGTGCTTTGCTCAGACGCCTCCCTGCCGAAGGAGGGCTTGAAGGGAAGCGAGGAGGAGAAGGCAGGCGTGCCCTGGGGCAAGTGCCGGCAGGCTTGTGGCCGGGGGGGCCGGAGCGCTCTGGGCAGCCTGACCGCCCTCCTGTCGTTTCCACGCCCGCAGTCTGCAGCGACGAGCTGACCCACAACCTGAAGGGTTTCACGGTGATGAACGAGAACGAGCGCTACGACGCCGTGCAGCACTGCCGCTACGTGGACGAGGTGGTGCGGAACGCCCCGTGGACCCTCACGCCGGAGTTCCTGGCTGAACACAGGGTAAAGGGGTGCGTCGGCGGCACCTCTGAGCTCCGCGGGGCGGCGGGGAGGTGTCGGGCCTCCCGCCGCTCCTCTGGACCCTTCACTTCCTGCCGGGGAAGGACGGGGGGGCTTCAGGGGATGCCGTGGGGAGCCGTCTGGTCCGTGCTGCTCCCGCCACGAGGGCTGGGTGCTCGGGCATCCCTCAGACTGGAGCTCGGAGAGAGCGAGCCCAGCTTGGAGGCGGGGGTGGCCCTGGCATCGTTACTCCAGGGGTTGGGAGGGCAGAGCAGGCGAGAAGCAGAGCGGGGCGCTGCAAGGCGCTGGCCCTCAGCAGGAGGAACAGGTTGCCTGTTCAGTTTGGAAGGGAGGCGAGCGCCTCCGTTTGGCATCCGCTTCTCGTCGTTAAGCCCCTTTCCCTAATGGCCAGTTTTCTGCCTTGGCTTGTTTCCCTCGCTGCAGACTTTTGCGGTTCTCTTTCCGTGCCGCAGAGCCGGCCGAGCCGTTCCGCTTTCACGTGAGAACCCCGTTCAGTGGGGGAGCCTTTATCCTGATCCGCGCGAAAGGCGTGGGAGGCACCGCCCTCTCTTGCTCACAGGTCTCGTTGCCCTTCCTGCAGATCGACTTCGTGGCGCACGATGACATCCCGTACTCCTCTGCCGACAGCGATGACGTCTACAAGCACATAAAGGAGGCGGGTAAGCGGGCCGACCCAGTCGCCTTGCTGCCCAGGCTGGCTCGCCTCCGGCCAGTGATGCCCAGGAGCCGTCTGCTTCTCTGCCCCCCGCTGTGGAAAGCGCAGGGCCGCGTCGCCGCAGAACAGTGCGGCCACGGTCAGAAAGGCTGCAAAGCCTTTGTCATGAAAATCAGCAAAGCAGGCCCAGGCGGTCCCCCGCGTCCCTCACGCTTCCCACCCCGAAAGGGAACTTGCAAACCACCATCTGGAAAGCTTTCATGTAGCCGCTTAGCCTTTTCTTCGCTGCCTCTTCTGAAGTGCCCAAGGCAGCCTGCTATGCAGACACGTGTTCCTGGCAGCACCCCTCCGAAAGCCAGAGACTGGCTGCAGGACCCCCAGAGGCGCGGGGGGCTGGGGTGAGTTGGCCGGTCCCTGCAGGGCAGTGGATAGCGAGGGCCGCGCAGCGGACGCTGGCACCTTAGGGCCGTGTGTCCCGCCTTTCCCCGTCTCCCTCCCCCCTCCCCTTTCTGCCCACGATCTGTTGCGTGATGGTGTTCGCAAGCCCCCAGAAGGGGCAGGGTGTCTGCGCATTTGCACGAGGCCTCCTGCCCGCAGGGAGCGTCTACCCAGCCCTTTTCTGGCCACTGCAGGGATGTTTGCGCCGACGCAGAGGACGGAAGGGATCTCCACCTCCGACATCATCACCCGCATCGTCCGGGACTACGACGTCTACGCGCGGCGCAACCTGCAGCGAGGCTACACAGCCAAGGAGCTCAACGTCAGCTTCATCAACGTGAGTGTGTGCCGGCGGGCTGGCGTGGCTGCCACGTTTCCACGGCGCTGTGGCGCCTGCAGGCCCCAGGGCTGCGGGAGGAGGATCCTGCTTCAGCGCTTTCCGCTGGAAGGTTCATGGGAACGGCCCCTCTCTGCCCGGGACCCCGGACACCCCCCGCTGCCCGGCGGGGTGGACAGAATTGGGCCGAACGGGCCCAGCGCTCCAGGCGGAACTCTTTGCCAGGGTCTAGAACGCGCTGGGGCTCCTGCGTGAGGCCCCCCTCCCCTAAACCTGGAGGGAGTCTTTGAAGGTCGGGGGCTGCGTCTGTTTTGATCAGCTTCCCCCAATTGGGTTCCTCCAGAGGTGTGAGATTACAGCTCCTATTATCCACAGCCGTTTGCCATCCTGGTTGGGCACGATAGAAGCTGCAGTCCAGTGCATCTGGAGGGCACCGGGCTGGGGAAGCCTGGTTTAATTGATGGTCCAGGGAAGACTTTCCCAGAGGAGAAACAGCCGCAGGGGCTGCTGCCCCCAAGAAGCAAGGGGGTCTGTTGGTGACATCCAGGTATATGGGGGGGGGGGGGTGTCACACGGAGGTGGGTAGAGACCTGTTCTCCCCTGCAGAGGAAGGCAGGACGTGTTCCAGTGGAGCAAACCTCAGGGAACCCAGGTTCCATTTGGATGCCAGGAAGCGCTTCCTGACAGTCAGGACCCCGAGGGTGTGGAATGGGCTCCCACGGGAGGTGGTTGAGGCCCCATCGGTGCGGGTGTTCAAGAATAGGCTGGACGTGCACATGGTGGGCCTGTCGTGAGCGGAGCCGGCTAGAGCCGGAGGTCAGACTAGATGGCCCAGGAAACCCCTTCTGACTTGCTCTGGTTCTGGTTCTATGCTCTTTAGCCACTTCCTTCTTGTCCTGCGTCTTCCCAAAGATCCAAGGCTCTGCGGAGTCCGAAGGAGGCCATCCGAGTGCCTGGGCTTGCTTTTGCTAGCGTGTTCCTGCGTTCCTGTTGTCCCCAGAGGCCGCTTTGTTTTGGTCTTGGGGGTGGCAGACTCGGGCATCGTACCTCACCTGATGTCTGACCTTTTCACAGGAGAAGAAATACCATCTGCAGGAGCGTGTGGACAAGGTGAAGAAGAGGGTGAAGGACGTGGAAGAGAAGTCCAAGGAATTTGTCCAGAAAGTGGAGGAAAAAAGCATCGACCTCATCCAGAAATGGGAAGAGAAGTCCCGCGAGTTCATCGGCAACTTCTTGGAGATGTTTGGCCCCGAAGGCGCTCTGGTAAGGGGGCGGCCAGGCTGTGTCCTGTCTCCTCCACTCCCTCTTCTTAGAGCACCGCCGCCAACCCTCCTCCGGCCCAGGGACAGCCTTCCACTCCAGCGGAGTTCCGAAGCCCCCAGGAGGGCCGGATTTGCCCCTGGCTCGCGGCTTGGCCCCACTGCTTTAGGGACCATGTGCCTGGGTTTGTCGCCCCTGCAGCTCGGCCTCGGCATACCGCACGCCCTGCGCCAAACGCTGTCCCAGCCTCTCCCGTAAGGGGGGTGGAACTAGCTGGAGCGCTGCCTGAGATGGACGCAGCTATCCGGCATGGCGGAGGCGAGCTCCTCCATTGGGGAGCGTCGCCCTGGTTGTAGCCGCAAGGGGGAGGGAAGCCCCTAAATGGCCCCGTAGGACGGAGCATGCCCAGTGGCCCTGGAATGCTGAGGGGAATGGGGTACCCCGGAGGAGGGCTTGTCCGCCCTGAACGCAGAAGAGGCCGGTCGCTCAAGGTCGCCCCTCCGCTTTCATGCACAGAGCAAGCTGGCAGGTGGGCCAGTCCAACAGAAAGCAACCTCCTTCATGGGCCAAGGCAGCAGGTATGGTCCTTCCATCAGGCACTGGGCCTGCGTATCAGACGCCATGCCCTCCACTCTAACCAGGACCCCACTCTGCCGCTTTGGGTACCTGTGAGCAAGCAGAGAGGCCGGATCCAAAAGGCTGGGCGCTTTCCTTGGGTCGGTTCCCTCCAGGTGCCCCGGGTATCAGCTTCCCTCTTCACGGGGCTTGTACTCCAGCACACCTGGAGGTGCCACGCGGAAGGAAGGCCGCAGTGAGAGATCTTGGAATGGGGGTTGCAGAGAGATCCAAAGCGCACGGTTCTGCTCTGAGGCGTATTGTTGACCATGCTGAAGGGGCCAGGAGGTGGCTCAGGGTCTGGCTCTCGCCCACCGCCCTCTCCCCTCTCTTGCAGAAGCACATGCTGAAGGAGGGCAAGGGGCGCATGCTGCAAGCCATCAGCCCCAAGCAGAGCCCCAGCAGCAGCCCCACGCACGACCGCTCGCCCTCCCCCTCCTTCCGCTGGCCCTTCACCGCCCGGACGCCCCCGTCGTCGCCGGCCACCCTCGCCCGGAGCAAGCCCACGGTCACCTACGACATCAGCGAGGACGAGGAGGACTGAGCCCCCGGCCGGCCCCGCCCGGGGGAGAGGTGCCGCCAGCCCCCTGCCCGCCGGCCCCTCCAGGCGGGGCGAGAGCCCTGCTGAGCGAGCGCTGGGGGCCAGACCTGCCGCCGCCGCCCGAGCAGCGCCTTTCTCCCACACGGCCCCCGCCGGGCGCGCGGCACACTGTGACTCCCCCTCCCTCGCGGTTCTCTTCTCCTCAGTCACATGCGGTCTTTTAAACCGGAGCTGATGGCGTCACGTGGGTTGGCAGAGGAACGGGGGGCGGGCGGGCGGGCGGATCCCCGGCCTGCCCCTTCGCCCGGCACGCGGGCTCCAGGTTGCCCCAAGACGTCCTGCCCCTCCCTGCAGGCCGCGTCCCCTCGGCCCTGCAAGCTCCCGTGGCAGGAGATGCTTGCGGGAGGCCAGGCTAGGGGCGGGCGGGCGGCCGCAGAGCGTGGGGCTCGGAAACTCCGTTCAGGGTGCCTGAGCGGGGACGGCCACCTTTTGTGCCCTCCACGCTCGTGCCACCAGTGGGGGGGGGGGGCCTTGGGCATTCTGCTCTTCCACTTTTCCGGTTTCTGGCCCCCAGCCCACCCCCCCTTGGTTCGCTTCCCAAAGCGGTGCCAGGAGGGCAAGGTTTGGTCCGGCCGCCTGTCACCGAGTTGCTGAGGCATCGCAACCCCACCGTCCAAGGCAGTTGCTGCTCCGGAGCTGGACGGGCACGGTCCTCTCTGTCGGGCTCTTGGGGGAAGACCGAGGAGCTGGGCCAGGCCCAGATGGGTCACACTCGTTCTGGAGAGCACACCTCCTCCAACCAGGGGCCCTCCAGACGCGTTGGACTGTATGTCCAGGATCCCCCCTCGGCTGGGGGATTCTGGGCATCCTAGTCCAACACTACGAAAGCACCAGGTTACGGGAGGCTCCTGCAGAGTTTGGTTAGCGCTGCCTCGATCCTGATCCTGCTCTGGACTTGCTGTTGCACAGCAGCACCCGCGAACCTGGCCGTGTGTCCCGATGGCCTTCCGCTCGTGGGCGGCAAGGCTGGCGACCCCTTTCCTGGCGCCTGGCCTTGGTCTTTCTTCCACCCGGCTGGCTGCAGTCTTCCGAAAGGGCCTGCACCTAGCTCCCCCAGCCCAGCACCCAGAGGCCGCTCTCGCGGTCGCCCATCCGTCTGCGTGGCGCTTTGCCTGTGTCTGTCTGTGTTTTGGCCGTCGAGCCACCCGGGGCCTCTCGCCTGCCCTTCCCGATGGGGGGGAGGGCCAGCCCCTCCGCCAAGGGAGCACTCGAGCGGCCGGCTGCGGTGCTCCGGAGAGGCCAGCCAGAGGGCGCTGCGCAGCTGCTGCTCTGCCCCCGAGCCACAGGGAGTGGCGCTCGGCTCTGCCATCTGCTCGCTCTGCTCCCTGCAGGGCACGGCTGAGCATCGCGCCAGACGCCTCGCACGGGCTCTGCCCCCCTCAGCCTTTGCTCCTAGCTGTGTCACGCGTGTCCCGCCGGGACCGTCGGATCGGTCGCTTTCTGTCTGCGGATGGATTGTCTCTGGAAGCGAGCCTTGCAAGGGGCTGCGTCTCCGGTTTTCCCGGAACAAACGGTCCCTGGCTCTCCCTCTCGGGCATTGCTCAAACCTAGCTGCACACCTGGGTTGCTTCACGAGCCACATCTGTCCTGCGCTCAGAGCACCTCTGTGCACGGCCGCCGGCTTGCATTGTGACAGGCCGGGGGTGGGACAGGCCGCCGGGCTGCGCTGAGCCCGGGGGCAGCAGCTGTCCTGTCCTGGGGGCATCTTGAAAAATATTCAAGGCACTTGGAGGGCACATAAGCCAGAGCTGGCACAACAGAGAGCCATGGGTGAGCGCTGCGCCCGTTCTGCATTCCCAGGGAGTTCAGAGTTTGAGCTTGGACATAACGGCAACACAGGAACAACAACAATCCCACATTGTTGTGTGAAAGTCTGTAGGCCGTGGCGCGCTCGCCACAGGGCTCCAGTCTGAAACAACCCTGAGGCAGCCCTTGCATGCCGGCCAGCTCAGCGGATCCAAACAATACAGGGCAGGCCCTGCAGCGACGGGATATTCGTATCGATGGCTCAATTGAAAAGTGATTTCAGGAGCAACCGCCGGGGCCAATTAGTTGAGTGGTTCTTTCGAAGACCCGGGTGATTTGGAACATCGCGGCTGTGTCTCTTGTGCTTGCGTCGGGCAGACTTCCCCTCCGGGATGCAGAGCTGCGGGGCGATCGCAACGGCGGGGCGTTGGCCTGGCCTGTGTGGCGCTGCGTCTGGTCTCGAGTCTCTCTGCGGGAGCGCTTCCCAGCTGCAGGCTCTTGCTCTGGCAAAGCCGCTCCCACATTTAAGGCGTATTATGGAAGCGCATTCCAGAGGAAAGTGGTGCCTGAATCTTGCACGTCATGGGCAGGGAGACATGTGCATGATGCCCACCGCAAGCTGTTCTCCCGTGGGGAGGGTCCCGTGGCGGTCTGCATGCCGTACCTATGCGGATTAACGAGGCACAAGCCCTGTAAGTCCAGAGGAGTTGGGCGTGCTTTGAAGGTGGCTGGTCTGTGAACAGGGATATCCGATTATTGTAGATGGACGCAGAATCCGTGCCTGCTGCAGCTCCAGCGAGTAGCACTTCAAAGGGGGAAGAGCGAAACCCTTCCCTCTCCTGATCGCCTTTGCAGCACTGCGTTTTCAGTAGAGCCCAAGCTGACTCTCATCTGTGGGTTAGGTTGTGGCTGGGGCCTTCCTGTTGGGCATCGACATGTTGTGCACAAATAGACAACACCACAACTAGAGTTGTGAAGGGTAAGGGCAAAACTGCGGGTGGAAGCAGCTCCGTTTTTCCACATTTTCCAAAAGTGGGAACCCTCCTTTCAGTGGTATATTGTTGTTCGGTTTTGGTTTTGGTTTGCTTGGTCATTTGGTTTTCCCAATTTTCCCGTCCCCCGTGCCCCGATCCTCACCTATCTAGTCCCAATAAATCGCTTGCACCTCTTCCAACATTCTGAGGTCGCTTGGCTCAGCTCATCCGGATTCTGTGCAATGGCTTCCATGCAATTTGCACACAGCCCCCTTGCCAAACATTTGGACATACACTGTGAGGATTTCCACACTGTTGGGCAAGGGAAACCGTTGTAGCTCCCTGTGCATTTTGTGGGTAATGGGCTTGGGCTTCCTGCACAACTGCTAGCTGGATAGCGAGAACTCGTTTTCTGCAGTGCTGACTCACATTCAGGTGGAAATTGTTTTCTTCCTTCACAACAGAATGGTTCCTAGAAACACACGGACACCCATCCTCCTTGCACTCGTTCTTCATATAACTATGTCGAAACCCACACTCCCCCCCCCCTTTGCCACGTGCTTTTGGAACGAGCCATTATCTAGGAACTCCCGCACAGAAGAAACGCAGAGCATCCCCATTCCCCATCCAGACCGGGGGTGTTGTGCCTCAGCTTAGGGTGCAGCTGGCTGCATTTGCTTGCCAGCAGGAAATTAAAAAAGGGGACGAGCTGGAGAGGAGTTGCGGAGTCTAAATACAGACATGGAACGCTCTCTGCCTACCCAGTCCATTGGGGCCAGTTGTAGAGTTGTCTGAAGGGCTTCAAGAAGGTCTTGACGACCTTCGGTGTGAGCATCTATTTCAGGCATGCTGGTTCCATTTGGATCACCCTGCATGGCAGCTGTGGTCACCCCTCTTCCGTGGGGAGAGGAAGGCAGGGTGCCTGGCATCCTCCTGCCTTCGTTGGCTAACTTGGAAGAATGCTGCATCTTTGGAAAGGCTTGTGCAAGCTATTACAAAACGGAGGAGCAGGCTGCCTCTAGTAGCTGCTCCCACCTTCCACGTATACGCAGTGATACTCAAGGGACATGCTGCACCGTGGTTGGCCAACCGCTTCTACACCAAGGGTGGGCAATTTGGTGGGCTAAAACTTCTGGAGTGCCGCCATTCGCTTCATAACCAGAGGTGGGGCATGAACAGAGCCGTAGACTCCAATACCGTAGACTCCAACACATGCCCCCCCCCCCCAGTCTAGGAGACGAATCCGAGCGTGGTGCCAATGGCAGCAAGGTTGCGCGAGGCTCGCTCTTGCGCTGCACACACCTAGGGGATCGTTTGTGTCAGCAGAGTTCGACCCTGGCAAGGCATTCATGCGGCCAGCACAAGGAGGCAGATGGTGTCCTTCAGTGAATATTTCTGGGTGTATTGTTAATCCCCAAAGTGCTTCCCTGCCTGTAAAATAGGTGCTCACGGGTCATTAGTTGGTGGCCTTGAAGTGGCCCTCGGTTTCAGCTTCCGTGCCTCAATCTGGTTGTCCTGGGAGTCATCCCTGCATGGATGATACACATGTAACCAGGATTCCGTGGAGGATCTTGGCGTGTGCCTGGGTCCCACCTTAGAGGCCCCAAACCACACTCGGAACGACGTGGTTCCGGACAGGCATTGCAGGGCCACTCTGAGATCCCGCCTGCCCACAGGTGGCTGTTCCGTGTAGCCAGGCGGAACCTGCGCTGTCTCGTTCTTTTAACAACCCTTGTACACCGCCTGGATTCAGCTGCGTGTTTGCATTGTCACATCCTTTCTGTTCCCATCGCCGCTGCAGTTCTCCTTTCCGAAAAAGGATCACTGAGACTATTCCAAGCAATAAGTTGTCCCCACACATCTAGCCAGTCCTTCAGACTTGCGCTTTCTGTACTGCTCCAATTTAAGCCCTCGAATCCAGCTAAATTCTGCATTTGCAGCGCCACATCATAAAGCTCTGAACCAGAATGTCTTTCCTTCAGAAAGGAGTGAATGTATTTATACTAGAAATCATTTCTGGGGGGTTTTTTAGCACTAATACATGGAACCATGAAGGGATTTTAATTTGCCCAGTCTATATTTTTATGTAGCTTTTTGTTGGTGGCACTGTTCATTCGAAGTATTTTAGTCATCAGCTTAGTAAAGATCTTGGGATCAAGTTTTTAATGCTAGACGCTTTTGAGTTACATTCTGTGATGGTCAGGATGTCCTAGATGGTCTTTTACTATTCTGTCTCCAGAGAATCCAACACAAACAGAAAGCACTAACAGAAACCTTACAGGTTGCTGCGCCTCTTTTTGGATCAGTGTTAAATACCTGTTTCCTGTCACTATAAATTCCATTTCCTCATTTTATTGGAAGTGGAATTTCTGTTTTGTGCATTGCTTTTCTTTTTTTCCTTTGGCTTCTGTGTTTAGCCAAATAAATGTCATTTTACCGGAAACTTTTCCACATTGTACCTCATATTTTGAAATCAGATTCCCCCACCCTCCCTCTGTTGCCTTGGTCACATGACATAATTCACTACATAATTGAGTGTCATTTGCAGAACAGAACAGATGTGGTGTATTGGGCTGAGGGGACTGCAAATCCCCAAGTCCTAATCTGCATCCGAAGGCAAAATTGTCAGTGTCAGAAAGAGAGAGCAATGGATCTGAAGGGATTCCAATCTCAAAATGGTTTTTGAAGGGTGGGCCTGGGAGAGGAGGTGATCCAGGTAGGCATGGGAGAAGAATCCAAAAGGATGAAGCGAGAAACAACTTGTACAAGGTGCTTTTGCACTAGATGGAAACAGTTGCAGTAGCTGAGCAAAGCCAAAAGAAGATTGAGTAACAAATCGAAGTCTCAGAAGAGCAAACACTGCTAGAAGAGAGAGTTCGCTCTGGGTCTCTTCCAGCTTGCTTGTCTCTTGGTTGCAGTGGGATACACAGCAAAAACGGGCTCACAACTCCCACGACCAGATCACTGGGTGCCACTGCGGGCCAAGATAGCACAAGGCTCGCTTTCTACAAAGGACTGCAGCAGACAGCAGCAGCTGCACGCCTTCCCAGAAAACAACAGATTCTCATTCATGTTGCCTGCATAAAAAATATAATCCCTTGGCTTCTACGTCACTCCTTAGCAGATGGCAGACTTTCGCCATCTTTTAAAAACTGCAGAACCGCAATCTGCTAGCGACAAAGGCTAATTTGCCACAGCCTCTCTCAGAAATGCCTCATCAAAGTGACGCTGAATATAAATGTGTAAAAGCTACTGATCACATCTGCCGGTGTCACAGTTGTGACTTCGGCTATTTGCTGGTGGTTTCTCTACTGCTGTTTTCAGACTGCAAGCAAGAAGGTAGGGAGCTAGATACGGCCTTGAGCGATCCTGGGAATCGTGAAGCTGGGTGGTAGGAAATCCAGGGCAGATAAAAGGAAGGGCCCCCTTCTTGGATACACACCTCAACATGGGGAAGGGGTGCAAGAGCGTCGGAGAAGCCGAGAGCAATGCCGCCAGGAGGTCGGGCTTTCTTGCTAGGCTGGTCTCCCGGCAGGGTCACCCAGGGTGGAATGGCCCAAGCAGAGTCCTCAGAGGCACCCAGCCTGTTCATGGGGAATGGCCACATCAGGTGTGAATGGGTATCTAATGGTGCTCAAGGCAGAAAAATGAGGATGGGCTGTAGCTGAAGGCAACGGTGGAGGGGCGACCGCTGGACGTGCAAGCTTGGCTGTAGGGCTGGCAAAAGCAGGACACCCCCGGGGGCTTTCACGCATAGGGTTGCCATAAATCGCTGAAGACTTGATGGCACGTGACAAGAACGGGGAGGGACATCTTCACACAGTACAAAGGCCAAACGATGGAATTCAGTGCAAGGGGTTGCAGTGACGGCCATCGGTTTGGGTGTCTTTAAAGCACACATTCCCGGAGGAGGCTCAGCCACCCCCCAGCCAAGATGGCTCTGGACAGGTGGGTGGGAAGAGCGGCTCAACCAGATGGGCGGATCCAGCAGGATTCCTCTCGTGTGGTGGACTATGCCAGATGAGACCTCCCTCGATGGCTCTGTGGATACCCGGAGCCAAGCTTTTTCCAACCAGGTGCCTCTGCATGTTCCGGATTCCATCTCCCATCAGCATGGCCGATGTGGCTCAAACTACATGGAGAACCCAGGGCTGGAAATGGCTGCCGCTGTGCACGCAGCACGTTTCTTTCCCGTGTGCTCAAATCTTCCCTGGCCTGCCAGGGAATGTCTGAGCTTGGGTGTTGCGAAATGGGCAGGGCTGGTTTCCAAATGGCTCTGCCACACCTCTGCAAATAGGGAGCTGCACAAATGCCCTCCAGCCCCCCAAATCTGTCTCCCACGCACCTGGTGTTCTGAGGGATGGACCCCCCCACCCCAACCTTCCAGCACTGTGACTCAGCTGGAGTTGTGTGGGTTACAAAATGGCGCTTCCTGAGGATCTTCAGTTTTTTAAAAAAAACATGCACGCAGAGGGAGTTTGGGAGCTCGGAAGATTCCCAGCAGTCCATGCAGTACCCCACGAACCAGCTCGCTTTCTGCCTCGCCTACCAAAACCAGAATACATAATGCAGGGCAGAGATAGCCATGCGTCATGCAACTTAACCCAATTTGCAAGGGATCTGCAAGCTGAAAATTTATCCCTCCCTCCCTCCCTCCGTGCACAGACGTTCTGATTTATACAATTTATTTATGCATTAAAGGTCCTTTCTGAGCATCAAAATCACACAAGCCGCCAGCCTGCCCAGTGGCGGCTGAGACATTTGGCCAAGCGTTTTCTCACTCCAGTGACACCCACAGCCTAGAAGGCCAGGGGAGGCCATCTGGTCCATCCAGATGCTTTGGACTACAACCCCCGTCAGCCCCAGCCAGGCTGACCAGTGGCCAGGACTTACAGGAGGCACAGCCCAACCCATCTGAGAGCATCACGTCGCCTGCCTCTGCTGTGAAACCTTCAGCATTTCAGGTGTACGCGTGTCTGTCATCTTGCAGCCATCGTGCGAAGCCCGGGGCAACCCAGCACGCGCGTGTTGCACACCTGCCAGAAAGCAACTCCCGCCCTGCCCGCCCCTCCAGCGAGCTGGGAAGGCCTTCTGGGGAAGGGGCGCTGCCGCCCTTAGCGCGGGGTCGCAGGGCAAGGGGCCTGGGCCTCTCGTGCGGCCCTGGATGCAGAAGGCCTCCGGCGCCGCTGCCGCGCTCCACTTAGGCACTGGCGGTCTTCGTCGGGTCCCCCGGAAGCCCCTCCAGACAGCAGCCGGGCGCGTCGTCCTGCTTCCTGTAGTACATCCGGGTCAGCACAGTCATGATGAAGGTCTCCAGGATCAGCAGCTGTGCGTGCATCTCTTCGAGCAAACAGCAGGCAGAGTTGAGCGGGGCGCCCATGGGGAGGCTTCCCTGAGCCGCTTCCACCGCAGCCTCCCCCGGCCTGGCGCCCTCCAGGTGTGCCTCCCCCCCCC